CAAAAATCCGTAAATAGTCCCAAAAATACCTAAATTACTGCTGATAATCCCGATATAGTCGCGAAAATCTGAAATAAGTCCCGAAAATCTGATATACATAAGTGCCGAAATTCCGTAAATAGTCCCGAAAATACCTAAATTACCCCCGATAATCTCAAAAGTCCCAAAACTCCGAAATTAGTCCCAAAAATCCCGAAAGTCGCAAAAATTACGAAATACTCCCGAAAGTCCCAAAAATCCCGAAATTACTCCCAAAAAACCTGAAATAGACCCGAAAGTTCCAAAAATCCAAAATTAGTCCCAAAAATCTGGAAATAGTCTCGAAAGTCCCAAAAATACCTAAATTACTCCCGATAATCCCGAAATAGTCCCGAGGCTCCCAACAATCTCTAAATAGCCCCGAAAGTCCCAACAGTCCCGAAATTAGTTCCGAGAATCCTGAAATAGTCCCGAAAGTTCCAAAAATCCAAAATAAGTCCCAAAAATCCCTAACTAGTTCTCAAGATCCCAAAATTCTTACTTGTTCCCAGAAATGGAGAAATAGTCCCGAAAGTCCCAAAAATCCGAAATTAGTCCAAAAATCCCGAAATACTCCTGAAACCCCAAAATGGTCCTGAAAACCTCAAAAATCGAAAAGAAGTCCCAAAAAATCGATATACTACCGAAAACCCTAAAAGTCCCAAAATTTGTCCCGAAACCCCCGAAATAGTCTTGAAAATACTGACTTAGTCTGAAGAATCTCTCAAATCCCGAAACAGTTCCCAAATTGAGGTGTGGTGAGTTTAGGTGAGGTGTGGTGAAAACGGGTGTGACGAGTTCAACTGTGGTGAGTTAAGATTTGGTGGATTTTAGTGTAGCAGTAGGAGAAGTGGTGAGTTTATGTGGGGTGTGTTGAGTTTGTATGTGGTGAGTTGATTTGAGGAGAGGTGAAGTGAGTTGTGGTAAAGTAAGTTGAGGTGAGTGTAAGGTGAGGTGTTAATTCTCTAAATTTCTCCTAACTTATACAGTATTTAGTTAGAAAGTATTTACCCATCGACTAAATACCGTGGTACTTTAGTGAAAGCATTTTGCATCCCCAGGGTACCTGAGTACTTTGGACCAGAGTATTTAGCGCCTGCTAAATACTTTAATTTTTTGTACTTTGGTATCTAGCAGCTCCTAAATACTCAAGTTTATCTTACTTTAATATCTAATAGCTCCTAAATACCAAAATATTTTTTACTTGGGTATTTAGCAGCTCCTAAATACCTAAGCTCTATTTACTTGAATATTTAGTCATCTCCAAATACTAAGTATTTGTGTATTTAGTACCCAAAGTGGTACTTTAAGTACAAAAGTCTTTAGGTGTGCCCATCACTGATTACAAAAACTAAAATCGAAAAACGCTGATGAGGTAACAGATTTCCCAAATTCTGAAAAAGCCAAAGGAATGAGAATGAAGAATTCTTTTTAAAAAGCTTTAGAAAAACCTGACATATCTGGTTTGGCTTGTAAGCGCTGTTTAAACAACGATCTCACCATTATGATAGATTCCAATTGTTTCTTAAAAATACATGACATCCGCATTCGCATCCGCATCCGCGAATGTTAGCTGTTAGGTATTCGCATCCGCATTCGCATCCGCGAATCTAAAATTTCACATTCGCAACATCCCTAGTACATAGCATTATGCGAAGTGTTTTTATTAAATAATTGACAACTGGTTAACAAAACGCTGTTAATTAATTATGCGAAAACTAATTGAGGCGCAACATTAATATCACTTCAGTGATATCATCACTCAAACCTGGCCTACATATAGTCATTAATTATGTATTTATTTTAAAGTCGAAAACGCTAGCTCTACGCTAACTTGCGAAGCGGAAGTTTAATGTATAATTTTATATAGCTGGTACAAGGTACTGTGAACAAATTTTTTTGACTCCCAATAGTCTGCTAGAGTAGCCTTCATATCGCAATTATCATAGAATGCTTCTATAATTGAAAATGTTTCTGTGGTATGGTGTGTGTGGTATCAAGTGCCAAAGGGTCGGAACCCTCGAAAGGCGGACTGGGAGAAGTTTGGTTCGTTCCTTGAAACGAGAACACCAAATCTCTCTAAACTCAAAAACAAATCAATTTAAGACACGCGAGGTAACGAGTGCTTTGATTGGTTGTTTTGATAAAATATGTCCGCTAAGAAGAAGCAGACAGGGAAAAGCGGTCCCATGGTGGAACACTGAATCCACCAAACTTCGAAAAAGGTCCAGGAAACTTCTGAATAGGGATTTAAAACCCCGTAAAGAGGAGGACTGGTCCGAATATAATAACAACGTGCAGAAGGAATATAAGAGGCAAATTCGCATGTCAAAATTAAGCTGTTATGAAGACGACTGCAATAATATTGACAACATCAGAGAGTCTGCCAGGTAGCTTTCTGACTACATTGCGGTATTCTCTAAAATAGTTATTAGTTTCTTATTTTTAAGGACATCGTTAATGCTTAGCTGGATGGTGTGCACGGCACATCTTATAACTACAATTGACTCTACTACTACTTTTCTACGACCCATTGTTCCCGCAATTCCTTCGAATAATGAAATTTGCCTATTTATTAAATTTGTTTGTTGCTGCAGAAACAATTTTTCTTTTTTGATATTTTTTTCCTTTGATAATCAACGAAACTAAATTGTTGTTGACATATTTTTTTGATAATTAATAGTTGCGTTCCTTATCTCCCAGAAATAGTCAGAAAAAGTCCGAAGTAGTCAGATTTAGTCCAAAAAGCGTTCCTTAACTCGAAAATGACAGCAAAAATGAGGCAGCAACACTCAGTGAGAGTGACTCTCTTCAGTCCGAAGTAGTCAGATTTAGTCAGAAAAATTTTTTCTGCCAAAATCCTGAAAAGTGTCAAACTCAACTGAATTTAAATTAACGGAAATTAAAGAATACACAAAAAGTGAGAATAACCGAAAAAGTAAAAAAAGTGAATTGAAATTGGAAGGAAGCAAAAAATAATTGATATAGTAAGTGTTTATTGTGCTTGTACATACATTTCCATTCTTATTTGACGTTAGTGTTGTTGTTGCCATTCTGTGGACTAAAAATTTGGTTTTTTGAGTTCCTTTACTTTTTTCTGTTATTCTATTTTAGTGAGCGCATTTTGCTTACGCTCTGGCATTTTGACACTTTTCAGATTTTAGTCCAAAAAGATAAGGAATAAACCTAATAAAACGAAGTCTTTTTAATAAACACATAAAAGTAAAAACATAATCAAATCGCTCAGAGAAATTCGTCGGAAGAAAGTTCGCTGCTAAAATTAAAACACACTGCAGTATATGAGATTTCCCACAACCAAAGCGACGACGAAGTTTGTCTGACGAAATTCGGCAAGAATAGATTTATTTTTAATTTTGCCGCTGCCGCCGATCATAAAATCAGCTCTCAGTGGAAAAGTAGCTTTGTTTCCTGTTGCGGCGAACATCACCCAGCGGCATCGCTCCGATCGACGAAATTCGCACAGCGATTTGGTTCTGTTTATACTTTAATGTTAACATTATCAATGTAAAAAACAAAAACGATTTTGTATTTTCATTTTTTTATCAAATTAACGTTATTGTGCAGCCCTGCTTTAATCAAACAAGATGTACATATGTATATACATATGTAAGGTAAGAAAAAGGAATTATGTTTAAGAATATATCGTCACAAGACGAGAACAAAGGCGTGCCATTGTTTTGACGGCGAAAAAGGACACATTGGGGAAAAAAAGACGCGTAAACCTAGTTGACGGCTAAGAAGGACGCGTTATAGATGTATACCTAGCCAAGCACTGTCACTTCAGCATTATTCCCCAAAAACTTTTTGGGGAATGTACACACTATTACACCCGCAAACATAGTTGACCGCGAAGATAAGTTAACGCGTCTTTCTTAGCCGTCGACTAGGTTTGGGCGCCTTCGCTGAAGTTATTTTATGCGTCTTTTTTCGCGGTCAACTCTTGAGCTCGCGCCTTTATTCGTGCCTAGTGACGATATGTAAATGTTGATCGTTGTATGCTGCTGTCGGTTTGGCTGTTGTCATCAAAAGGACCGTAGTTCAAACCGAACATAGCATTAAATAATCGTGAACTTCGAAAGAAGCCCACCGGTAGTTTTCCCGCAGCGGTGTAGCTTTGCAGCGAACAGCGGCGCAGAAAACTTACCAGTGGTTCTCAAATATTGAAGGTTTTTGGCTTCACCACTGTGTTCTAAAATAAATAATGTTTGGATTTTCATGCAAATTGCAAAATATCCTTAAATATACATGTCATCAATAAAAAAAAAAAAATTAGACGTGCTAGAAAAAAACCAAAGATGCATTTTAATTTAACATACCTAGATATTCAAAAGAACATAATTATTGGACGGGGAAAATAAATTTTAAATTTCGCAGGACCGCGTAAAAGATGTAGAATAGTGAGAATAGTCACGACAATTAAACCATGTTTCCTATCGGAAAATTTAATATTAAGAAAATTCTTCTGACAGGTTATTTTATCCTCCTATTCGGCTTTGTTTACTTTTACTTAAGAAATGTCATCGTCGCCAGGACGGCGTAATCTTTTATTCTATCGATCTCAGAAAATAGTGTATCCAACAATTTTTTCTGAGGTTTTTGGAAAAATTTCGCTTAATTTCTTTGTATAATTACTACTTCTCGCTTAGCAATAAACAGTTTATTGAGTTTATTTGCCCAATTGCAGGAAAGGGTACCGTAATTTTAGTAGTTTTACATTGAAAAATAGTCAAATAACTTAAAAATCTCTAAATATGAAGACATTGTTATTTCCTTAAAACGTTAGATTTTCTCAATGTAACCACTATTATTTTTTTGAACAGCTGAATTTGGGGGCGTGTAGGGAAATACCTCATAAACTGGCAAAATGAAATATATTAGGATTTCGTTTTTACATTTCTGTTATATTCTAATTTAAGATATTTTATCTGATTGGATTACGCTTAAGATTATGTTCTACTTACTTCTCGAGTCGCATTGACAGACACTTGTCTTTTACGTTTCCTACTAACGTTGCGCCTACTCATTTTCGCAAACCAATGCGAGGTATCGGTGGAGGTTGTCGGCACTGGAGACCATCCACGTAACAAAAACGAATCTACGGTTGATAACGATGGAGAAGTAGAAGATGCATCACATGCTTCTGTTGTGGGAGCTGAAGTACTCGTAGCTATTTTCTTCACCGCTTCGGCGTTTGTATGTATAGATGCATGTGGTGATTCTTGCGATAAACGCCTGTATTCCAATGTATTTGAAGTTGTTGGCGGCAGCAGCCAAGAAGACGTTGCATAGAGCGGCGGATTATTGAAAATCTCACTACTTGATTTACTATTGCTAACAACTGTGGAAATTTTCCTTCGGTTTTGTGTATTGCACGGAGGCTGGCTTTGACGGTTCCTCGAGGTATTATGCATTTTAAAGCTGTTGTGCTCACTCTTGCTTTTATGACTAATATTTTGGTCGTTTTTAGTATGACTTCAGCCGGTGTTCTTGTTACTCTGCTCCTTCTCCACACTGGAATAACATTAGAATAGAAAAGAGTAAGGGAATGAATAATATAAATATGTAATATTCAATTATTATGGTAGAGCTGTCATAAGAAATACCTAAAATAAAATGCACCCAAAATATTTCTCTTTGAATATGCCGCACAGTAGTCTGAATCCAAAATCTAGATGAAAAAAGTCGGAAAATATAACTCTTTAAATTAATTTCTTTTCGTATTTTTATGTTTAACAAGCTTTTGCCCGCAGCTTCGCCTGCGTAATGTTTGGTTTAACGAAATTATTTTAAAATGTAACAAAGAAGGAAACAAATAACTTTACCAAACACATATTAAAAATAGTTCAGCAATTCAAACGCAATACATTTCTGTAAACAACGTTTCGGGACTTATTGTCATGGACGTATATATAGAGATTTCAGGATCTCGATGCACGCGAAAACACAACGTAGAGTTTTCCGTACTAGAGACATGGAATGCACAGATTTATTACGGTTTGTCCTTGGCTTTTATTAATCGTTATCGCGAAGGCGTCTTTTAACGGAAACTGCAAACGTTTAAACTGAAATGACATGTTTGTTGGAATTATGGGAATTCGTGGTATCAATACTGATTGTCCTTTGCACATTCGAGGTGCATCCAGGTTACACATCAATCTGACTGGCTCTCCAACCTTTAATTCCAGTCTGTGGGACGGCACCCCTGACAATTCGAAAAAGTTTAGAAACTCTATAGCAGGGGTGGGCAAGGCCGAGGCCGAAAAGAGCCACATGTAAATTCTAAATCCTACAAAGAGCCACAAAAAAAACAAGAAAAACAACAATTTAATTTTTAAATAAAATTATTATTAGAAACGAAAAACATTAATTTTATTATTATTCTAATGTACGTAAGATGGATATTAAAAAAAATTCAAAAGATCCCTTTGGCCAAATTTTCAAAATCTGGTTTTACGTCAGTTAAAGCCGTTCGTAACCGTTCTGTTAAACGTTGGTTAGTCAATTGTGAACGGTATTTTGACTTAACGAATTTCACTGTAGAATACAAAAGCTCACAGTTATACGTTGTACCAAAAATAGAAAATACATGGCACGCAGCTGTTTTCAACAGCGGATATTTTAAATCTGGTACTTGTTGCCGGAATTCAAGCAATGACAAAGCTTTATGTTGCATTTCCAGTGCCCTATCTCACTTTAATTCCAAAAACTCCAACTCTTCTTCGCTTTTCTTAAAAAGGAGTATTTCGGATGTTGTAAATTCATCCTCAATTTTGTTACAGAAAAAAGGGTTTATGAAGTATGCAAACTTACATTTAAATAATTTCAAATCGGTAAATCTTTTTTCAAAATTTGCTTTTAAATCATGTAGGCGACATAGTGGTCCAATTTATCCTCTTTGATATGTCCAATAATTTTTTTCTAGCCATGGAAAATGATGAAATATTCTCTTTTTGAGATCATGTATAAAAAGGCATAGTTTATCTTCAAAACTTAAAATAATTTGCGACAAATCAAAAACATTTTTATTCTCTCCTTGTAGAGACAAATGCAAATGTTCCATCATATCGGTAAAGAACATTAAGTTAGAAAGCCAATTTTCAATCTCCAATTGCGGGTAATGTTCCGATCTCAATTTGCGTATGTGTTTATAAAAAGAATAAAATAAAAAAGAAAGCAATGGAAAATAATGTTCAGCAAAGAAATATGTATTTTAAAAAGTAAACAGATCCAAAATGTTCTAAGCAAAGAGAAAGTAAAAGGAGCCGCTCTTTGCTAAGAAATGGGCCGCATTTGGCTCACAGAGCCGCGTTTGCCCACCGTTGCTTTATAGGATATATTGGTGCATCCTCATTTGCCACCAAAGTATCAAAAGACAGTCGACTTACCAGCAGTGTTGCCGCGAATCATTTTTAGTGGTAGCCAAATTCCTTTAAAGGAAGGGCTAAAAAAGAGCTAAAAAAGTCGTTGTGGCTAAAAATGGTAGCTAAAATTTTTTTCTTACATATACAGTGACGAGCAAAACTGTAACATGGTGTAACACTTTTTATTTCAGCCGCCGCTATATTTCCAAGTTCTAACGACTTTCATACTTTTGTTGCATATTCTTGTTGGTACATCCCTACTCCCTCTCTCATAACCAGGCATGGGCAGAGAGTTAGCAGGTGCTAAAAGAGCGTAAGCGTCGCGTGTACGTATACAAGCGAGAGCGCAGTGATGAGAACACGACAGCACGCAAAATGAATTAGGCACACTAACACATTCTCACTTTTAGCTCACGCTTGTTTGTGTAGTGCCCACCTCTGCTCATAACGATTTGAAGTCAATACAACAACAATAAAAAAACCAGCAGACAAAAATGTAAATTAAGGCAGATGTTACAGTTTTGCACTCATATATTTTTAAGAACTTTTTAACCATTTTCACGTAAAAAAAGAACTACTAACACAATGTTCAGTACCCTTTTGCTTGTTTCAGTTCCTGGATGCGTTTTGGGATACCTTATTTGTATCTCTGTAAAAATTCTGGTGGTATATCCTCCCATATATCCTTAATTTGTTTTCGCAGCTCATGTACTCGATTTTACGGACTTTGATACTTATTAAGCTGTGCTTTTAGTTGATTTCGCAAATTGTCGATGAGATTCATGTCCGCGGATTGCGGAGGTCGTTTCAAATTAGCAAATTTTTGCTTTTGTATCCTGGCTTTGCGAATATGTGCAGTGTGTTTTGAGTGATTTTTCAGCAGAAACTATAATTTTTGCGACTACATCTTGTAAATTTTGTTTAAATATGAACAGATACTGTTCCTTACGCATAATGTGTACTAACGGACAAACAAAATTTTTTTGAATACAACCCCAAACTATTATTGACCGACCACCGTGATTCACAGTTTGCCTTACATGATGCGCATGGGCTTAATTTGGGTATTTGATCCAATACCAGGCCCGGTAATTTGATTGAAAGCGATTAATTTAGTCTTGTCAGACCAAATAACCTTCAATTTAAACTTAAAAATATGTTTTTTTATTGCATTCTGAACGGCCTCACATATCCCAATAAGCAACGGTTCGGTTTTCGTGCGATGCAGCAAAAAGCTGCCACACTCGCTCATGTATTTTGATCAAATTTGCTTTTTTCTTCTTTATGATGCCTTTGCGCTCAATTTGGCAATTCTTCACCTCGCTGTCTATTGATTTGCGTTAAAGTTTAATACCTTAAGCGGTTCTGTAATAGTGCCTGCATCGCTACTTGCTGCTAAGGTCACAAGATATCGTACCGTTATATTTTTTGACAGACTACTTTTGTCCTTGGGAACACTTTAGGCAAAATTTTTCTCAGTCTTAACATTTTCAAGTAGCAAATTCCACAATTTTTTACCACTTTTCGTGCGGTCCCGCCTTTCCGCAGTAAATCTATTATTTACATTTATGGTTCCTGATTAACTATATTATTTACTGGTGATTACTTCTTCAATAAATTACAATACAGAAAAAATTCTTCTGACTTCCAACTAAGTAAGAGAAAACTGTCAAATGCAAAACTGAGAGTGAGTTCAAAACTGTAACATCTGCCTTAATTTACATTTTTGTCTGCTGGTTTTTTTATTGTTGTATTGACTTCAAATCGGTATGAGAGGGGAGTAGGGATGAACCAACAAGAATATACAACAAAAGGATGAAAGTCGATAGAACTTGGAAATATAGCGGTGGTTGAAATAAAAAGTGTTACACCATGTTACAGTTTTGCTCGACACTGTACATATATAAGCATACACGCAACCATTTTCAATAAGTAATGGTATAGAAAAACATTGAACTCTGGAAAAAAAAAAACAAATATTTTTCCAACAAACAACCGTTTTGTATTTAAGGGAAAATATACAACACCAGCTTGCTGGCTCCACCAAGTGATTTTACCATCATGCTCGAAGCATATAACTTACCAGCATGCTGCTACAGTATTCATTTCTTTACAAATGAGGTCGAGGAAAGATCGGAATGATTAGAGCCGAAATTTCATAATTTTTCTACCATTTTGTTAAACATTTGGGATATTCACAACGGTGTCGTAAGTTTCGTATTGTTGTATGTCGTAAACTTTAAATGCCTAAAAAATGCATTAAGAGTGTTCGCAAAGTACCATCAAAGACATATTATGAGATTTTGCAATGTTAAAAAATAGCTGGTTGTCCATTCAAGTTCTCTAAACATTTACTTAAGCTTTTAAAGTTTACGACATAAAACAATACGACACTTACGACACCATTGTGAATCCCTCAATTGTTTTTTTTTTTTTAATTTACAACTGCAATATCGGCTTTGACTCATATAGAGCCAGGAATTTCCGACAAAATACTTTTTACTTAGAAAATTTAGTTAATTTCACCACTCACGACACCAGCATGCTGGTACAATCATAAAATTTTCAAATAGTTTTTGAAGTTGCACCAGCAGCTGGTACAATCACATCGCAAGAACATACAGGGTCAATCGACTTGATGGGCCATTTAACAAATTAAGCATATTAAGGGTCGTAAACTTATCTATTTGAAACTATAGTTAAATCGTTAATAGATAAGTTAACAGCCCTAATACTTTTTACTAATACTTTTATGAAAATGTAAGGTACATACAATACATATATGTATATGGGCAAATCTAAAAAATAGGTACACTCTCCAAAAAAAAATTTTTAATTTTAAATTTGTGAGCACACCTATGTTTTATATATAATTTTATTCGTACTCTCTTAATGAATCGATTAATATAAGTATAATTCATTTTCATCAAGTGCTTCAAAAGTTAGACGAGGAATAAACATGAAATAGAAAATAAAAGAATAAGCTGGGTTCAAATTACGTTGTTCAAGTTATAAATTTTGAGCAAAGATTTTGAAAGTTGAACTCACTTAATTGGGACGTTCTTAATTCAATAGCATCTCCCGTTTTACCAGATTGGCTCCGGTTTTCGAGATAACGGTATTTGAAGATTTGATTAAATTTTAACTATT